GGGAGCCGATAAGAATGGGAGAGTTCGGCCTTTCGGGAGGTGGCCCAAGTGCGTCCGCCTGCTTGGCCTGATTTTTGTGCTTCTGCATTTCGTTTCAGGGGAAACGCACACGGAGGCTCTGGCACGCAGCGGAGCCGATGGGGGTGAAGGAGGCGGACCGAGCCCAGCAGGTGCAGCAACAGGTATTTTCCAAAAGGCTGGGAGAGTTTGCTGGGTTTTGCTGCTGTCACTTAGACTGTGTCAGAAAGGCCGATGCTGGTTTACTGATAAGCGAGTCCCAGGGAGCTAATCAGAGTTTACTCTTCCCCCCCCCCAACCCCAGCACCAAAAGTGCACACGGGATTGGATCTGAAGAGGAACGTCTAAAACTCATCTGATACTGAGAAAGCGCATCTAGTTTAGGATGAATTGAGCATGTGGGTTGATGGGTAGGGGTGAGTTTACAATGCAGTGCCAGTGACTGACAGGAGTGGCGGCAAGTTCAAATGGAGGTGGAATTGTTGGCTGTCACATATGGATAAAAATATTCCATTGTAAGAGTATTAAAAACTAATGTGCATGTGAATTAAAAATATTGGTGGTATTGTGTACTGTCTGTTTCTGATGTTAAGGACTGGATTGTTCAGTTGGTTAGTATAGTTTTTTGCGTACATGTGAAAAGAAATAACATTTTGTCAAGTTAAATTGTAATATAAGTTATTTGGTTCTCTTAAGAGTTCAAGGTTATCTGCTAACCTTTTTAAAAAGTGCCCTTTCATGTGTTAGGTGCCCTTGAGAGTCAGTTCTAATGGAGTTTTAGATCTCAGAGGACACACATTCATTATTCACATTGTGGGTTTTATAGGCTGTCCTTGAAAAGTACATAAAGTTAATGTCCTTGAAAAGTGCATAAAGTTAATGTGAAGGGCATATCATCTTGAGAAAGCATTCTTGTAGAAACTACAGCATTTTGTAAAAGATGTTTTTCTTTTTTAGAGTGCTGCCAGCATTTTCTTCTAATTGAGTTAAATTTTAGATTATTTTCTGAAGACCTTTGTCTGTGGTATGCATATATATGAAGCTTACTGGATTTTATTGTCTGCGGTAGCACTGAGAAGTTAGTATTTAAGAAGTGTTGTGTGACATTATAAATGAGATGCTCTGTGTAAGCTGTCTCGTTGGAAGTGTGTAATAAGCAGTAAAAGTATTTTTTTCTGCCTACTTACACTAAAATATCTTCATGGCAGTGCTTTTATTAAAATGGTCAACAAGTTTCACAATCATTTTTGCCAAAATTATACGACTGAAATAACTTTGTACTTGCGCTGATTTTGAAAAAATGTTCACCCTAATTCTGCTACTTGATTGAGCCCAGTTAATAAGACAATTTAGAGGGATTCTATTTGTATAAATACTAATTACTCTTTTGCAGAAAGTAAGTATCTGTTCAGTATGTCTATACACAAATCTCGTTCTTTGTGCAAATCTAAAAGTAAAGCTAGCATTAGAGGATTTCAAGATGCCATTAGCCACTGGCCAAACTTCAGAGGGCTTTCTGTGTCCCCCTTGAAAGTGTTGACATTTAATTGACCTTTGAAGACTCTGTTCTGTTAATCATACTCAAAGCACTAAGCTATGGTTGACTGATCTGGTGTTCTTCCATATAGTCGTGTTCAGCATATAAATTCTGCAGCATAATTGCTACTCATTGAGCAAGAGTTTCTTTTCTTTTCTGAAAATGGGAGAGCCTTACTTTGCCTCCGGCAGAGCACTTGCAGAGTTCTGATTCAAAAATGCTTTCCTGTCATTAGTTGGAGGGTGTGGCTTTTCTAGTTTAGGAAAGCAGTGAAAATACTTGTCTGCTTAAACTGCCTTTTTATGTTTCTTTAAGCAGTTTGTAATAGCTAGATGGATAACCTTGAATGTTCTTGGTCTTGTATGAATTCAAGGACCTATGGTCTTCAAAATTTATATTCCTGCCATACCTGATTCTCCACTTTGAAAGAGTTTTTAACAACTTGGATGAAAAACAGTTGGAAAACTATTTACTTTAGATTCCCAAACCAGTGTATTTCAGTATATGTAGGATTATTTGCGCTGTAAGGACAGAGCTTCCATCTGAAGCAGTAGTCCTTTGTGTTGCATTTTTGCAAAACTGAACTTTGTATTTTTCTCTTTTTAAGAGAGTCTGTTTCCTTTATTTGTTTTGTAAATCTTTCAGTTTTGAGCAGTCCTTTAAGTGACTGTCAGCCAGTGACTAAATATTTAAGAACCATAATGCTTGTTGGTCTTATTTCTTGTTAATTTACTTGTGCAGCTGAAAACAGGAGATGATTCTATCATTAATGAAATGATACGTTGGGTTTCTAAATTTGCAAAAAAAAAAAGAAAAAAAAAGTCCAAAACCATAGCCACAGAAGGTAGTGGCAGGCTTGAAGACAGATCCCAGGCTGGAGTTTTATTTCACATTATTGGGTGCTACCCAGGCCCTGGGGTAATCGCTTAATCACTTCCGCGTGAACATGTACTTACAGGGCTGTATGTGCAGAGCTTTTGCCACATCTTGCTTGGAAACCACTATGGTGTTGTAATCCTGTAGCATGGTTTTGGAGAACATGTGGCCCTCCAAATATTGTTGGACTACAACACCCATCTTCCTTTACTGTGGGCTAGACCTTGTGAGAGTTGCATTCCAACGGCATCTGGAGGGGAAAATGTTCCCTATCCTTCATATGTGCATTTATTGAAAATATTCATTAATTGCTTTTAAATTTAAATTATCATATTATGTACAATAGAATAAATGAACACATTCTTCAAAAACAATTTTAAACCCGGTTTAAAAAACAAAACTATACAGTACAGTGGTGCCTCGCATTACGATGTTAATACGTTCTAGCGAAATCGCTGTAGAACGAAAACATCGTAAAGCAATTTTAAAAAGCCTATAGAAACGCATTAAAACCCAATTAATGCGTTCCTATGGGCTTGAAACTCACCGTCCATCGCAAAGCGAAAAAACTCCATAGGAAACATCGTTTTGCGATCGCTTTTGTGATTTCGTCGTAAAATGAAGCGCTCGTCTTGCGAGGCACCACTGTAGTTTCTTCACACTTAAGGCAGCTGCACACAGAGCACAATATACTGGTCTAATCAAGAGGTAATTAATATACGAAATACTGTGGCCAAGTCTGCCTTACCTAAGAAGGGATACAGAGATGGGATATCAGTATAGCCAATGATCTGATAATAAGCCTCATTGAATACAATACAGTGGACCCTTGACTTACAGACGGCTTGACTTACAGACTTTTTGAGTTACAGACTTCTCTGGCCGCAAAATTTAGGTTTGACTTCCAGACTGAGATTTGACTTACAGACCAGAAAAAAACCAAAATGGAACAAAAACGGCCTGTTACGGGATTAATCGGTTTTCAATGCACTGTAGGTCAATGGAGACTTGACTTACAGACATTTTGACTTGAGAACCGCCTTCCAGTACGGATTAAGTTCTCAAGTCAAGACCCCACTGTAATGTTTACTTTTGAGTAGATAAATAGTATTTCCTTGTGAGCCACAGGTGTCAGCAAGTTGAAGCATATACCCTATTTTTCCGTGTATAAGACTATACTTTTGTCTAAAATCTTTAGAATAAAAATTGAGGGTTGTCTTATACATGGAAGTAAGCTGAGGGGAGAACAAAAACAAGTGGAAGGGAAAGCACAGATCAAAGCGATCCTGGAAGGCATTGATCCCTTTTCCCCTACACTTGCTAAGTCCCACTTAGATTTCTTACTTTTGGGTTAGAAAAGTGGGGGGCATCTTGTACATGGGGTCATCTTATACATGGAAAAATACGATAGTCTACTTCTGCAATTGATGCTGACTGTGGACTGTGTTTCCCAGTGTCCTAGCCTCTTGCCCTGATATTGCTTGTTAATACATGGATTAACCTGGTATCTCTTTAAACTCTTTGAATTCTATGGGTGTTAATCAATACTGCTGCACCTATGAGGATGGGTTTCTGCACTATTGGAACATGGGGACTCATGGATGTGCAGCTATTATTGCAGTAATACAGTACAGTGGTGCCTCGCATGGCGAGGTTAATCCGTTCCGGATTAACCTTCGCTATAGCGAAACATCGCTGAACGGGACAAAAAAAGCCATTGGAATGCATTAAACATTGTTTAATGCGTTCCAAATCGGCCCAAAACTCACCGTTCAGCGATGCTCCCGGGGTCCGGCAGCCATTTTCGCGCCCTCGGTAAGCGAGGGGAGGGCACAAAAACGCGTGCAGCCATTTCGGGCGTCCGGCAACAGCCGATCGCCCGAGGGCAAGAGGAGGAGGAGGAAGAGGGAAAGGGGGGCGGACACACGAGTGTGTGCCACTTCCTTTCCTCCATCTGCCTGCCTGCCTGCGTTCCTCCCCAGCGGTGGCAGAAGAGGGAGGAGGAGGAAAAGGGAAAGTGTGGGGGGAGGAGGACGAAGAAGGGAGGCGGACGCACAAGCGTGCGCCCCTTCCCTCCCTCCGCCTGCCTGTCTCGCCGCCTGCTTTTCTCCCCGGCCAGCACGGCCCTGCATCACTCTCTCGGCGGCGGCGGCAGCTCCTTCCAACGGGCCCCCCATATGGAAGATCGGTAAGCGAGTTTTGCCCATTGGGGCCGACGCGATGCCTCCGCATTAGCGATCCCGGAAAAGGGGTCGCTATGCGGATTCGTCGTTATACGGTGCGCTCGCAATACGAGGCACCACTGTATTTTGAACATCAGGGTACTGTGCACCACCAGAGATGAGATCTCAAATTGAATATGAGGGTCAGAATCCTGCTGGAAAGAAAAATAAACATGCAGTGTTAATGGCACAGGTGGTTCCTCTCTTTAGCCAAAGTGTCCATCCGTTAAGCTGATGTACAGTATGAGTGATTTCACAATCAGTGCATGACCAGGTTAGATACCCTGGCAAAAGAGGGAACCATTTGTTTAACTACCATTGTGCACACCACTTTTTCCAGCAGCGTTCTGAGAAGTATTGTCTTTTGAACAGGATTCAGTAAGTGAACTGAACACAGGCTTTAATTATTTTGCTTCTTATAAGTTTAACAGATGACATTTTGCAGAGTGCATAACTCTAAGGGAACTTGGACAATCCTTATTCTGAAGTAATGCTTGTATTCTAGTAATTTTAGGAGCAGACTTACAAT